AGAACCTATTAAAATCCAGCAGATGTCTGTTCATTAATTAAACTGATATATACTTTTAATTCTAAACATTATCTGGATACTGTGTTTCTTTACGATGAACTTAAAATTAAATACATCTGGGGTCCCTCTTGCTGTATACATTAGCTATATTAACTAGCTTGTGATTTAAAATTAGACCCAAGTAAGTTCCTGGTCAATGATCTGCATCAACAACTCCGAGCAAGTCACTTATTTCCCCAATAGTGGGTGTCTTCTACACATTCTTAACAGGAACAAATGTTGCTTTTGAAGATGAAACCCAAACCTATTGTACAACAAAACGACCAAGCGTAATTGGGCAACAATTGTCAGTCTAAATTAGGAACCCTCGTCATGTTCAAAATGCAAACAGATTTCTACTTCCCCATGAAGGCAAAACACAATAGCAGAGAGTTTTTTTCTGAGAACAGAGGTTTAGTTGTTTCAGCTCCGACATGCGTTGTCACCTCTTTTGTCATCATCTTATTCTCTGATGCTTTCATAGGTTATTTGAGGAGACGTGAAATCTAATACTTCCAGGGAGGGATTGCTTACTGTAGCCTTACAAAACCTCCCAGACTGTCAATAGACATGTGACTACCATCAAAACATCAAATACCACACAGAGTAAACAGGGATGCAGGAGACAGAGATCTGCTGAGCACACGGCTCAACATCCAACAGTCACATGGAGCATCGACGGGGGCAGTCGTCACTCAATATCTCTTTTTAAACATAGGAGAAACTCCAACTTTCTACTCTGTGTCTTCTGTTTGCAAAAAACAAAATAGAAGAACAAAATGATAAGTTCAACATCACACTGTGGTTCTCTTTCACAGTGGTTAGCACTCAGGAAATAAGCAGTAGTCTGCCTCTATCACAACACCAGCCAAAGACTCTTTTAAGGCTGTATGAGTGATGTTAGAGCTCAAACTGCTGACAGAAAATCACCATCAACTATTGTGATAAAAACTAATCATTTAAATCATTTTTAAGTAAAAATGAGCTGATACAATGATTACCTGCTTGTCATGTCAAAAATAAGTTCATAACCTGTAGTTAATGTACACCTGAGGGTAAGAAAGGCTAAGATATAGTGAGCAAAGATGATTTCATATTCCATATTTTCTGACATCACTATTGTTAACACAACAAAAACAAGGAATAAGTCACATTTTCAAATTATTTTTCTAGTAAAGTACATCAAAAAACATCCCAAACAGCTCCGATAGATATCGCTCATTGGCTCATCATCTTTGGCTTTGGACTGTTGGTGAACCAAACAATTATTAGAGAAATGTATAAATCACATTTTTTAAAGCAAAAATAACAAAACAATTCTGGTGTAGTACATCCAGGTAACTACTATTTCTATTTCATACATGCTCCAGGCCTCTAGTGGGCTTCGCTATTGGTTAAAACCAGGCGAAGGCCGAAGGGATGAGATGCACTTTCAGCTGGGCCTGACTGAAAGGTTGACCTCAGAGAGAACCAAACAGGACACAGTGCGTTCTCCCTGCTCAAAGACAGGTCTACCTCCTCGAGCGGCGGGCCCTTGGGGAACAGAGATGGAGGTCTGCCCAAGTCAGGATGGACACAGGTCATCCTGTGCAGAACCGGGTATCTGACCCCCCCTGTCTGCTGAGGTAGGCTACCACTGTAGTGTTGTCTGACCTCACCATGGTGTGTTTCCCTTTGAGCTGTGAGCTCCAGCAGGTTGGTGTGACTGCCATGGGTCAAGGGTCCTGCCCCACCTGCTTAGAGAGGCGTCCGTGAAGACCTGGACATAACAGGGAACACACCCCAACAGTACCCCTTGGCAGAGGCAAACGGGTGAGTCCCAGAAGATCAAATCCAGCTGGAGCTGCACAAATCAGTGCTATCGGTTTCTTATATGCTTCCTCTTCGTGACATGAACAGGAAGACAAACATGAAGACATGATAACAAATTCTTCTGCAACACCTGATGGCAGCAAAAAAAATTTGCTGAAGGATACGTTCTCAAAGGTGCTGGGTAAAAACGGGAGACGAGCGACAGGGGTTTTATAGGGGGTGGAATACTACCCCCTGATTGAGCAGCGAGTTCAATTTCCTTTTCTTTCTTATCCCTTTTTTAAACAAAATAAATTATATTTTTATTGGGATTTTGCATAATACAGTGCAGAAAACAGATACATATCAGAAACCAAATAACAATTAATGCAGTGACAAAGGGTATATTGAAAGAAAATGTATTAATTACACGTGCTGCATAGCACAACACATCTTCTACTCAGTGAGAGAGGTGGACGGGACACTATAGATTTTTGTTGCTGGTCAGGTTCAGCCTCATATTGAGCTAGATGATCCAGTTAACCAGGTCTTAAACTGAGGCACAAAACTGACTTCCAGGGCCATAAAATTACTTTCTTTATGATTATCATTCAATACATAATAACAGGGACAGAAAACAAATCCCAAATCCCTGCACACATTCTTATATTTATTCATGTGGTAATCACCTTTATCTTGCAACCCCTTGCAGGGTCTCCAGTCCCCACACTGGGAAACACTAAATTTAAAGTTTCACATTCAGTTTTATATTCTAAAGGTTCATTTAAAGCCAACTCAAAACTACCTGTTTAATTTTAAGCATTTCTTCTCCAGGTCAATTGTGTGGCATGCTTTGGCTCAACCTTAACCAAAGTAGCTGGATTTAAATAAAAAGAAAACAAATATAATGTAAACACTATCGATTTAAATAGGATGAAGATTAATTGAATAGGACTTCTTAAAGCTAACGTCAACCTATGTCAAAACAACGCGTTAATCTTGAAAATAATTTGGTAAAATCAATAATTACAAACTTTTATTGCAATGCGATGCAAACATTTGTGAGTTACTGCGTATGGGACAGGACCATTAAATATGTTTATGATTACCTAAAAGCACCAGGTTGTTTAACGTTAGTTAAGATATTGTATCAGTGAATCCTCTGAGGTTAACGGGCGACGTCAACTCACCATACTGGGAGTCCGGATCTGTCTCCTGTTTTTTACCCATTTTCCGCCTTCAACCTCCACCTTTTCTTCCTGCGCTTGTAAAAACACAACTCCCTTCACTTGAAGTAATCCTAAATATTAAAAACAAAAAGGGCTAAAATCGCGTTTGAGACGAGCTCTACCGTGTCTGTGCGGACATGGTAACTAAGTTAGGAAATCTTTCTCCTTCCTGGCGGTTGTAACTAGGCAGTGACGACACGAGCGCACCTGTTGATGGATGCGCACCTGCGCGTTCTGTCAAAGATTGTTTATTGGCGAGAGGAATCACTCATCATCGTATAAACCCAGTGGTGGCATGTTAACTAAGTACATTTACACGAGTACTTGTGCTTAAATGCAGCTTTGTGGTATTTTTACTTCCCGTTTTATGCTTCTTTATACTTCTACTTCACTGCAATTTGGAGGTAAATATTTTACTTTTTACTGCACTACAGTATTTGATTTTAATACCACTTACTTTGCAGATTTATATTATTAATGCAACATATAAGTCAACTAATAAATTATATTTTATTGTAAGATTAGATTTATTTTTGAGAGGATTTCTTTTATGGATTACTTTATTGTTTTTTCTCAGGTTTATTGAAAGAATTTGCACCAGTTATTTAATGGTAACTACATACATATTTGTATTCTGCTCTGTAATTTAGATGAGGGACTGCATGTTATAGCGCACCTTGCCTGTAATGTCACTGTTGGTTAAGACTGGCGGAGTGATAGGATGTAAGGTAGTGAGGCGATCACTTTTGTTGTCCCAGTGTTGAAGCGGACATTAAAGTGACAGAGTAGTAACAGAGAAGAATTTTTCATATTATTATTATGTTATATTATTATAGGTTAAGCAACCTAAAAGTAATTAATTAATTGATGTACATTAATGGAATAATTATTAATGCTGTGATAAATGATTCTGAAATTGGTCAATCTGTATAATGAGTACTTTCACTTTTGGTGCTTTAAGTATATTTGATGGTAATACTTTAATAATTACTATTACAACTTTTACTTGCATGAAAGATCTGAACACTGCACCATAGCCAATGACCCTCAGGTGGTCCAAAGGCCCCCCCTTCGACAGTGTAGTGTTTGTGGTAATTTGATTAACATCAAATGTCTTTGGTAATACTGTAAGCATCATTAAAAGCACATCATAAAGTGAATTATTAGGCTTTAAGGTGGCACCACCATTATGATCTCGAGGTCCTAGATAAAATCTACTTTTAACACCATTATTCAGTTTACATTGCTCATGCATGCATATTCCTAGATATACGTGTGCTTAATCAAGTACCACAAACGAATAACTAGCTTAATATATACATGATGTACATAGAGTGCTAGTATTAGCTATTTCTTGCTCCTCTGACAGCAAATAAGATGATATATGTAATGTTAGTAGTGACCTATTGTCAATAAAAACTAAAACTAAATTTCCATAAACTGCATTTTCCCAGTCAGCGATTCATACCATGGACAAAGAATTAAAAGCAGAGTGAGACATCTTGCCCAGTGTAGCAACAGGCCCATCTCTTGCTTGGCATTGTGGCCTATAAATGTCCCATTAAAAACGTGTGGCTGTTTGTCAGGGAAGAAGATTGTGCTGCGTTCACATCTGCTGAACTGACTGGCATATAGACCTTTTTCATAGCAGCCATTTTGAAATTAAATAGTTGGGTAAACACAGGCGTTCCCAATGACACTAATTCAGGTCCTGTTCCATTCAGTGTGGCAGAGTCGTTCCAGTGAGCCAACATGCACAATAGCAGCATCCTGACTCTGTTTTACCTGAATGCAACAGAACCTTAACCGGTATCATATTTAACACCTGTGTTTAATGTACTGTTTCATGTCACAATGGCTGCTGTGAAAAAGGTCCATTGATAGCCAGTGAGCGCAGATTTTTAAAGAGAGAATGTCATACTTAATCCAAGAGCCCAAAGATCAACTCATGAGCTAATTTATTACACTAAATGTGATAAAGAAAGAACAATACGTACAAAAATAAAGAAAATAAAGCTAACGCCATCATCCAAAAACAACGCTATCCCTCAGGTCCTTATTGAGTCCAGTATGGGCTAACTGTTGACCCCATTACTGTACTGTGTAAAAATGCATTGCGGTTGTTGGCACGACAGAAAATATATATTTATGACAGTTGCATTATGGCAGACTCCTAATGCACAGACTTCATGTGTCAGGGCAAAAGGAGATCTTAAAATATACAGTAAACATACTGTATGTACAGGATCATCACCTGTTTCCTTCAAAATACCCACAGTTTAAAACATGTTAAGGCCCATATCCAAAATGATCAACTTTAAAAGAGGTGGCAAGTATGAAAAGAAAAAGGGACATTTCAAGTAGAAAAAAAAACAGCACCATGCATCAAACACAGAACAGAATTTTTAACATGATGAAACCCTCAAGGTGTATTTCCACTGCGAGTACATGTGAAATGGATGTGGTTAATCCAAAGGCCCCCGTGGGTAAATGTTTTTAAGAGTTTCCCAGCATGGTCATCCCACAGTCAGCTCCCGATTCTGGACAAGCTTCCAGTCGAGCCAGTCTGTTCTGCTCCAAGGCGATGGCCTCAGCTGAGTGTTTGCATTTCTCTGATCCACACTGACAGGTGAAATACTTGCTCTTAATGTCCCAAAAGCGGTCTCCATAGTCGAACCTAATGAAACAGACAAGGCCAGGTCAAGTTGAAAGTGTTTGTATAGTGGAAAGGGCTTCAGGCACATATATAAATAAAAAACTTTCATGCCTCTCTGCCCAAAACAAGATGATTCAATGCAAAATACTGGATTAAAGAAAGAAAAGAGGATGAATAAGGCAGATAGGAGGCTATAAAAAGGAGGAAAAGAAAGAAATAAACTGGTGACCGTAAACGTCTCAACTTCTCACCCTAGCTCTTGCCCGCTGAGGATGTCCCTGGAGCTGAAGAAGGCGATGCGGGGGAACCTCAAGTCCTGGTGCAGCATGAACACACGCACTGGGATGAGGTTTGGGTCACACAGGTGGTTGATAAAGCGGCTGATGTTTCCATAGTAGCGGGCGTCGATACAATACACCTCCCCGTCCTTTACACAAGAGGAAAAAATGTGTTGGAGAGCTAAAGCTATTCACACGGATTATGCACGATAAACAGATCCTGATATCTGACAAACATGGTCAGATTTATTCGCCTACATTAGTGTCACTATTATACACTGTGGTTGTTTTATCATCTTCATGTTTGGCTTGTTCTGCCTTTTCTTATATTGATACTGTGCGACTTTAAATAGTTTTTAGCTCTATGGATGGATTGCGATGAAATCTAGTAGCAGACATTCACGCCCCCCCCCGTCAGGATAATTGTGATCTTTTAACTTTTCCTCTAACGCCATCATCAGGTCAAAATGGTAATTTGTCCAATACTTTGTTTTATGAAGAAATACCTGCAAAACTAACGACATTTCCATCAGCCTTAGCTTTACTTTGTGTTTACTGCTAATAAGCAAATGCCAGCATGCGAACACACTAAACTAAGATACTAAACATTACACCTGCTTGGCATCAGCATGTTAGACTTTAGCATTGAGCTTAAAGGTCAGCTATATCCAAATACGGTGTCAAAGAGCTGCTAGCATGGCTGCAGACACTTGTTATATATAGTTTTATTCAAATAAAGAAATAAATGCTGCATACCACTGCTTATATTTCATAATGCACCAACTTTGCTATTTTAATGATGGAAAATGTTTTAATCTGCATATTTATAACATCTCTTTCAAAATACAGCAACAGATAACCATTGAATACAACTGTCATCTGTTTTTTTGTTTTTTTCAGTTCAGTAATTCACAACAAAATAGTATCAGATAGATCAAATTTGACTCCATAGCACACAATGTAAAACTTATTTTAAAGGCCTGCAAAGGTTGGTAATTTCTTTGGATAGTCTTGAATGGTCTGTTTGTCTGGGTCTCAAAATTCAGGAGGTGATGAAATATCAAAAAGGCTGGGGAAACTTGCAGAAACTGGACGATTAGAGGAAGTTTTTTTTTTTTTACCCCAAACTTACAAGTAACATAATGAAGAAGTATTTGCCACCTGACTGAGTTTTAAAACTGCAGTTTCCCAAGAAAATGTTACCTTAAAAGTCTGCTGCAAGCTAAAACACTGGGAGTTGTTGTCTAGCACAGCAGTTGTGTACTTTGTGCATGGGTTAAGGTCTGGCTAGTTATTTACTAATAGTTATTAATTATTGGATATACTGGAAATATGCCATCTGCTGTCTCTCTCATGTTTTTATCTGTTTCTATATTAGCAGAAACATAAAAACAAAACACATTTTAAAAAGGTTCACCTTGTTGTCCAGGTCAAACAGGTAGGAGTCATCTTCTCTAACATCTGCCTCTGCATCGGAGATCAGCTCCCCAACATATCTGTGTGGACAGGGAAGAAACGTCATTTCTAAACTCTGACTTTTCCCATAAAAGCAGCCTGTTGTGTGTGCCTTGTGGACAGGTCTCTCTTACTCGCAGATGAAGCTTCCCTGGGGAATATCCTGCAGAGCTCGGACTCCCCAGCCCATCTTCTCTGTCCTGTACAGCTGAAGACGAACTCTGAGGGGGAAATTATCAGGGGGTCAGACTGTTTGAGGTTTCCTCCCAGCCAGTAACTTCACAAGGTAATTTAACGTTTGCTCATTAGTGAAATCTGTTGCTGTATAATTAGTTAAAAAAGCTGTGGTTTTGGTTGAGAAATATTATGTTAAGAGGAGTTATATATGAAGCTCTTACTTGATGCCTGCTTGTACCACCCTGTTCTTGCATGTTCGGTAGCAGGAACACGCCATGTTGCATTCAAATATAAGTGGAGGTTCAATTTTGTTGAACTCCTGGAGCAGTCGCTGGTCCTATAAAAATTACAGAACAAGTTGAGTTGAATAATTTCACACCTTTAGTTCGTCCTGTAATTAATTAATTCTAGTCATTGACTCTGACTCTCGTAGATCTCACTGACTTTCAAACTAAACCTCTTTAAAAATGACTGCTAATACTTAAAGATTATACAGATATTTATTGACCAAATGGAAAAAAGATATTCTTGACACAAGCTTGTCATTTTTTGTTGAATGATTGTTTCACTTCTTTATATCCCAATAAGCTTTCTGAGCAGCTGATTTTAAAGGTGTGGCTGTAAAGCAACATTTCACCTTACCTTGTCATACCAGCAGCGGATACTGAGCTGTCCGCAGAGGCAGTTACTAGATGAGCAGTCATCAGTGCAGCTACAGTGCTGCAGTAAAGATAATTAAAAAGGCATGAGATGTATTTTTCATTGCAGATAATACAATTGTGTGAACAGAAAGACAAAACAATATATTTTTTACCTGTAAGTGTGTAATATTGCGGTCTATGTTCATTGCTGAAGTTTCACAGTTTTCTGAAACATATTTGTAGTCTGAAGGACAGCCCTCGTCATCCACTGCATTCACACAAGGAATCGGTACGTTCTCATAGCCCTGTGCAACGTCCCTGGAACGGAAAGCAGGAAGATGGACATCAGAAAAACAGCAAGAGGAAAAAATATCTGGTTAAGAACAACACGTTTTTAATTTGAAGACAAGGCTGTGAAGCGATGGAGTTGCAATCTGCAATTACACTGCTATATGCCATTAAATCAACACCTACCTGCAAATTATCCTTTCAGTCCGAAGCATGCGATTGGTTATTCCTCTTCTTAGCTTCCTGTTGATCTGGAGTGCCACCCACACCGGCGTGTCGGCCCGTGCGAGGGTGAGAGGCGTGTCTCCCTCCCTGTTCATAATGTCGATGTCGGCCCCTCTGGAGAGGAACAACCTGCAGAAAAAAAGTCCACAGTCCAGTTAAAACTATAACAATTAAACAATTATTCAATTACATTTTGGTAAATTAGCACTATTAAAAATATCCCAAATCAGCTATTAGCAATTCCTGTTTGCAGTGTATCCACAGATATGTATATCATGTCTGTGTGTAATAAATAAAAACAACCAAATTTCATGCGTTCCTCACTTTTGTTGCTGGGAAAGTAAAATGACACTGTGTGACTCACATTAAATAAGGCTACACCTTGTGATTAATATTGACTCACGTAACACACTCCAAGTAGCCCTCTCTGGCAGCGATGTGGAGCGGCGTGTCTCCGTGCATGTTAACTGACGTGAGGGAGCAGCCGGAGTTCAACACCAGCTCTGCTATATCCACATTGCCTGCATACGCCGCCCAGTGGAGACACACATTCAGCTCCTGAAGGGAAAGATTGGACTGTTTAAAGTAATAACCTGAAATATTTTCATGCAACTACATACATTTTTTCTCTATCACCAGTTGATACAGGACAGTAGAGGTGCAAAGTGCCCCCGATCGTATTTGAAACATTTATTTTTATCCTTTTAAACATTATCTTCAGTGTTGTAAATGTAGTGATTTCTTACTGAAGTATAATTAATTGTTCAGTAAAAAATATTCTTCAGTAATCAAAGCATTACTGTTGATTGTATTACAATATTATCGATATTATGACAAAAGAATGTTTTCTTCCTTCAGTTAAAATAAGATTTTACAAAAAACAACATTGTCCAGAAAAGGAAAAGATATTTAACAGTATTTATGAAATAACATTGTGATAATAGCAAAATTCTATAGAAATAAAATGTATATTATTCATGTAGATGAAATTTTTTTATGCAACACATTTAATAAACCTCAGTGTTCACTAGTAGAGACTTACTTTATCATTAATGGTGACATCAGCTCCTCTGTTCAGCAGTGCTTTTATCACGTCTACGTGTTTGTGCTCTGCAGCCCAGATGATCGGCGTCCAGCCACCGCTGTCCTAGAACCAACAGGAAGAAACACATGGAGGTCACAGTGGGCTCGTATCAGTCTGTGTGATCCACCGCCAGTAAGACAGATACAATACACTTTGCTTAAATGATCACATGTATCACATAAATATCAGAGAATGGTACAGTGGTTGATTGTAGCTATCTCTTAACCTAAAAAACAAAACCCTATCAGCTGCACATAGCTGAAAGAAATTATGTAAATAAAATGAGATAAACAACCTTATAAGGACCTATAATAATGTCCCTATATAACTGACATTTTGACTCATCCTTTACCTGTGCATTTACATCCACCTGCCCCGTCTCCAGAAGCATGTTAACAGTTTCCAGGTTTCCAAGCTTGGCTGCGTGGTGGAGGCCAGTATATCCATCCTCCTCCTGAAGGACATTAACAAGGATTGAAATCCATATCAACCAAACCCCTCAAAGTTCACATTTCTGTTTTTATTTTAGGACCTAAAAAGACACTCACAACATGATAGACACAGGCGCCATTCTGGACCAGGTAGTGAGCCACCTCAATGTGATTGTTGATGATCGCCTCCAACAGAGGGGTCCTCAGGTCTTTGTCCTGGGCATCCACTTGAGCACCAGCCTGTCAGTACACAAACAAATCTAATCTTTAATTTAACGCACAAGACCAGGAGAGATTTTAAGAGGGAAAATAAACACACAGAATAATTAGCTCTGATGCATTTTGCTTTAAATAAGGTCACCAGTGCAGTGTTAAGCATTTTTGTAGACTAGGCTAAATCTATATAGCTGTCAATCTTATTAGTGGTAGTCACAATTTTAGCCATTTTTAAACTAATTAAATTATGCTAATACAGGTATTGGAAATTAGAATCAAGGTGACAGTAATGTTGAAATTCGTAAAGCAACATTTCATTCTCGTAGTTAACACTTTTACTTGTGTAATAGTGATGCGGGACCCGTAGGTGGGGCGGGTTCGGCTCAACTTACTAGAGAATATCACAGGTTTGGACGGGCGGGTCAAGAGACACAGTGCTCTGGACAGCTCCCTAGCTGCTCCTGGCAGCAGGACCAGTCCCTTGGAGAGCAGCACTGCGCTTAGTCCTGACAATTGTGCTACTACAATGCATAAAACTGGCGGGTTCGGGTGTCGGGTCTCTTAGTTATTGGGGAAAAAATGCATTCTTTTGAATTTCTGATTCAACTGCTAACATTTTAGTCCTGTCTTGTCACTGAAAAAACATACATTTCCTTATAGCTATTATTAATTAAAGTTCTATTTTTAGCTTGTCATCGTCTTGGGAAAAAAAAGTAATTTACATAACACAAAACATAGTTCGTCATAGTTTTTGCAATTAACACTACAGCAGTGACCCTCAGATTTAGATCCAATGTATTATCTTCCAATGTTTTGTTCACATTATTTTAAAACTGATGCTAAAATAACAGCTTTTTCTGGCCACTTGTGGCAGCAGAGACACATAAAAATGACGGGAAATATCTGACTCTTTAGGCGCCAATTGCTCCACTATGTTCATCAGCTAGTCTCTAACTGTTTCTGTCCGCAGTTTTGTGCTGAGCAGGTACTGTAGGGTGGGCTTTTAGACCTTTTCACCCAACTGCCTGCTGTGGCCAAAAATGAGCAGGGAGAGTGAACCAAGACAGTAAAGCTGCGGGCCAGACAACTAAACAATGAGCTGCAGCTTAAGGTGATAATTCTCTGTAGGTTCATTACTGTGAGCAACCCCTCACAGTGATTATAACCTCTTTACAGTATGTGTACTAATCAGAGAAAAGAAACCTACAAGACAGATGCTAATATTGGACTTCTCACCTGTACGAGCATGTAGCAGACTTCCAGCAGACCTCTCTGAGCTGCAGCATGTAGAGCAGAGCGTCTGTTCTGAGAGTCAGGCTGGTACGTTGGATCTATGCCCTCCACTGTGATATATATACACACACACACACACACAGTTTTAATGCACAGATCTGTATAAATTTACCATGATCTCATATTGGGATTAGCAGCCAAGAGGACGTGCACAAATGGTCAACACTTCTCTGTGTGTGATCAAACCCAGACAGTACTTTCAAAATAAGATATATCCTGGAGCTTTTTTATATTTATTCACTCAGCCATAAATGAAAAGTGCAAGGTATTCACTCACTCAGCATGAGCAGAACTCTCTGCACCTCTCCTTGCTTAGCAGCAGGATAAAGCTGGCGGGGGTGGAACCTCAGTTTCTTCTTCCTGGCAAATCAGAAACAACAATTTGGTCTCAACTTGACTGATGTTCTCTGGTACACTGGAAGCTATGTAATTTCCCTTGGAAGAGCTAAAGCAAACAAAACTGGAATACTCTGTCTTGCTTAGAGAATTTCCCTGCAACATGCAATTTTGTTGTGGCTGCAGATTTCAACAGATATAGTGGAGATGCTTTTACTGGGATTCATGAGCAGATTTTATTTGTAAATTGTCCGCTGCTGCATATCAGATATTGTATAGTAGTTTTAGTATAGAGTTTTGGACTGCTAGCACAAAAACTTCATCAAAAAATAAAATAAAAAATGTTCTGCCGCACAAAAATGACTTACTCGTTGCACGTACTGTAAGAAAACAAATTAGACTTTCAATTGAAAGCTCATATTTAAACAGTGTCGAAACTAAACATAAAACATCCAACAGGAGTCCTTGAGGGGGTTCATTGGGTTACCCAGAAAAATGGGAAATAATTTAATTTCACTTTTATTTCATTGGTTAGAAGTTAGCCCAATGAGAAATTGTAAAATAATGACAAATCACTATCTTCACAGTTTATCTGTTAATCTACAGTACAGACGGTTATCGAATAACTAAACAAAGAGGGATCTCTGAGACTATTTGGGGGATCCTTGACACCAAACAGGTTGAGAACCACTGATTTAGACAATACCCTTACATATTTCAATTACTATATCTAGTCCTCTGTTCAATCCTTTAACCTACTGTGACTGAAAATAGTCAAATCTAAATCCAAACGCCAACCTCTCAGTTTCCTGTGTGAGAATGGCCTTCTGTAGCGACGCCCTGCTGGGCCCAGGTGGAAGAGCACTGGGGCTGACGGGTTTCCCATTTGGCATACAGAGAGAGGGCCCCACGCTGTCCACACCCTCCTCTGCTGGGGGCACAGTGGCCACAGTTGCAGCAGAAGCTACAGGTTGCGGGGGCTGCTGCTCCACTGCCAGTTTTATCAAACCATGGCTACGCATACGTGCGCTGGTGGTGAAGGAGAACGCAAGTAAGAAAAACATTATTTATATAGATTACAGGAGCCAATAATTCTCTCACAAGTCATCCACAAAAACATTCACAAATCTTACCTGACAGGTCTTTCGGGCATTTTCCCGTCCTTCATTCCGCCCGTTGAGGCTGTAAGAGAGGGCGCTGAGGGGGTGGACGGCGGCAGAGATGGGGTGGTGGTGGACGAGGCCGACATGGTGACGACAGTGGTTGCGGAGGTTGTGGCCGAGCTGAAGGAGGGGATGGTGACCTCCTGGGCCTCGGAGGCATCTTCACCGCAGTGGGGACAGAAAAGCATACCGCCACCGTTTGCTCTGCTGCGCCCGCCGCCCAGCACCGTCACACAACCCCGGTGGAAACGGTGAGCGATGCGCTGGTCTGGGCAACACTCAAGAAACGTGCCCTGAAAGAGGAGAAGAAGGTCGGGCATTGAGGACGAGAAAGTAGGATATGCAGAAGGAGGAAGACCATTAAAAGTAAGATATTGGAGAGAAAGTAGGATATTGAGGAGGAAAAAGCATTAACAATAATTTTAAACTACATTAAAGTTATAGCTTGTAAAACTCTAAAGCATCAATAAAATTGGAAAACATGTACAGCCATGAAACAATGTCCCAATGTACCAACTCAACAACATTAAATACACTATGTATTTCTAATCATGACAATTTGGTGATTGAAACCCTCACCGCTATGCAGAAGTATCCACATCCAGGACAGCAGTGGTGTTTGACCATGTGTGAGCGATGGACGTCACAAAGCACCATGAGAGACACCCGACTTGATGGCCGCATGGTCTCCCCTTTTATCGTATGACTGGTACAAGCCCTCAGCTGACAAACAGCGCAAGAGAGACAAGAGTTAGACATGTGGCTTAAAGGAAGGTTATATTTGAGCTTTTATTTTCATTTATTTTTTTGTTCTACAATTCAGGAATGTAAAACTAAATCTTTACAAATTTGACTACATGTAAATACCCATTAACAATACACATGATGGTACTTAATTCAAAATACAAACAAAAGCACAAGGCAGAGACAAACCTCTCCATTGATGCTCTCAGTTGCCATACACTGTCTGCTGACGCGGTGGCTGGAGCTGTCGACTCGAGGAGCCTCCATCCTGCAGCTACACAGAGGAAGCTCTTCCAGCCGCTCTGTGTCTCCAGCATCGCTTCCTTCTGTAGAGAAGAGAGAGAGTTGATTATGATGTTAGTTTATGGTCTTATGGTAACTGTCCATTTTGTGTTGAAGGAGACATTGATGGTCACCAATCCTGAATGAATATGATTTCTATTACAGCTGAAATGATTTGAAGACGATTAATTGTTGCAACAGAAAATCAACCTGCAACTTGTTTTGATAAGTAATTTTTCAGGTAAAAAAAAGCCAAATATTCTCTTTTTCCCTTTAATTTGTCACCCATCTGTGTCTATCATAAACCTACCATGATGAGGAGAAAGTGTCAGACTGTCAGCAGCAGCGATGTCCAGAGCACCCAAAGGAACCTCTGTGTACTCAGTGGGCCTACCAGCTGAGGACAAACCACATGACAAACTATAAGCACTGCCAATGCTAGAAAATACATCGTACATGCTAGATATATGCTAGCAAATGATGCAGTTAATAGAGGTAAAAAGCAAATAACTACTCTTATACCTATTATTGTTTTACAACACTAAATCAAAAAGGTATTAATCACTAATCAACAGAAGTAGAATGTTAAAATAAAATAAAAATTCTACCATAAAAGTAATTGCACGAATATTCACCACCTTTAAATCAACCTTACAAAAATTCTCCATTCTCCAGCTTTGCATCTCCTCCAGAGTTCCAACAGACTCTGTAGCGGTCTCCACCACGAGTGCCTTTTTTGCACAGACGTGTAGTTTTTGACGACAACCTGCTCTCGGCAGATTTACAGCCGTACCGTATTCTTTCCATTTTTTGATGACTGTCCTAACTGTACTCCGAGAGATATTCAGCAACCTGGAAATTTTTTTGTACCCGTACCCTGATTGGTACTTTTCAATAATCTGGTCTTGTCGTTTCTTTGTCTTCATTATGTTGTTTTTTTGGCAGGAAATTGCCAAGAAGTTTCCAGGCAAGAGGATTTAAGTCTCTAATCACACCTTGATTAGACACAGGTGATCTTCATTCAGCTATTATGTGACTTGGCTAGTCAGCCTCAACTGGTTGCACCAGCTGTGATTTAGATGGGTTATTTAGGCTATGTTCACACTGCAGGTCTTAATGCTCAATTCCAATTTTTTTGCATTGTTGTTCACATTATTATTTAAATTTGACCGTTCAGACTGAGGTCACTTTGAAAAACATGAGATATGTATCCGACTTAGGACCACATACGAAGGGAAAGAATCCGATTTGTGCTGTTCAGACTCTCATAAAAAAAAAAAATCAGATATGGCTAAGACACAGTAAAGGGCACTTTGCTATTCTTCAGTCTTAATTAAGTTGTCGAGATCTGTTTCACCTCAACATTAAATATACTTCTGTTGATATCTAACATGGTTGTTATGGGAAACGAGATTTAGAAAACCCACCAGGTAACGTCACTCACCTCCCACTGTCTCCACCACATCAACTGTGTTTCTCTCTTTGTCCTGGTCTGACTGCGGCCATGAAGACTCCTCGCTCTCATTTCTACTCTGAGCGGCTTTCTGCGTTTCAACCTCTGAACTCTGCAAGGAAGAAATTCTGTCTGAATATAAAAATGTGACATCTGTGAAGGGTAGAAAGAAGGGTGAAAATCCTGGGTGGGTTATTGTCTGACGGATTTCTTGTCGTAAATGTGCACAAGAACGCACTATTTATACACAATCCACTATGCTGCAGTTGGTTACGTGGTAATGCACCGGGAAAGGAAAGAAAAAGAAGAACACTGCAAGCTAACAAACAAGGATATAAACCAAGCTATGCAAATGTTTTATGAGGAAGGAAATGCACCTCACTCATGTGTCAGGCCTTAAAGATAAATACACGTCCGGGGGGGGGGGGGGGTAACACTAAATGTAAACAAGTTTGTTTACAAGAGAACTCCACAGGGCACCTTTAAACACAAATTAATTACTTGTAATCTTTGCTCATTGTGTTGCATCTACTGCTGTATTCTAGTAGAGTATCATCTCTGCCAGCACTATCTTCACCCTACAAGTACTTAAATATAATCCAACTACAACTTTGAGCTTAAGATTAAACCCATTAGATGCCCCTTAAGAATTCAAAGATATTTTTCCTTATGCAGTATATCTGCAGGCTAGCAGCTCAAAATAAATTTAGCCTCAGCAGATTTCTGATGGGACAAATCATTGTGAATCATTGTGTCGTGACTAGTTCATAAACTATTTCTGGAGTTCCAGAAAATGAAGCATGATTCTGCAACAGCAATGCTCATTTTGTCTCATGTTTTAGTTTCGGTAAAGAGTTAATAAGAAATTTACAAAACAATTTAAGAATAACATCTTTTTCAATGTTGACAATTGGAAGAAAAGACTTTCGAGCAACCAAGTTTGAGTTGTGTTATTGAAAAAAAAAGAATTGGGTTATCTATAATACATCTTGTATGTTCAAGCAAGTACAGGATGATACAACAGTTGTGGGCTGGTACTGTCAGGCTAATAAGACTAGTTGGCTAGAGTGACATCTACAGATTTAAACAGTGTTTATAATGTTATAAGACAGTTAGAGATGACTGTAGCTGTAACAAGATAAGAAAGTAATTATCAAGCTAGTAAAATAGAATCACTCACATGATCTGACATGTTCACTGACCCCTCTATGTCTTCAGTGTGCTGCTTTGTTTCGGCCCCACTATCTTCAAACTATAAAAGAAAAACAAAATATGTTTAACAATAGAAAAATTACCTGCAGAACAAGCTATAACATTTTTCTCAATAATATGTACATTAGTTGACAATAAGTGATCCCTTAATGGACAACAGTGTTCGACTGATATGGGTTCTTCAATGGCCGATGCCAGTGTTTTGAGATTAGGGCAGCTGATGACTTAAGGTAGATTTCATAATGTGACCAGTGTGTAGGATTTAGTGCCATCTAGTGGTGAAGTTGCAGATTGTGACTAACTGGAACCACTCGCATTCAAAGTGTGTAGGAGAAACTACGATGGCGGCAAAACTCCTAAAAGGCCCTGTCTAGAGAAAGTGTTTGGTTTGTCTGTTACGGACTACTGTTCAAACATGGCGGCTCAACATCGTGGCCTATATATATATATATATATATATAAATAAATGCTTGAGAGATATTGTACAGGGCTCCAAACTATCCTCCTTCCTAAAACGAAAAAAGAAGGAGCACCACTGTAACCACAATGACATGGCTGCCTGCAGATGTGTCTTAACCGGCCTTGTGTGCACAGGCATCGAATGAATTGCACTGTCAATAATGGACAATAAGTTATTCTAAGGCTCACACCTTTTCTGAATCTTGCATGGACGGATTGGAAACCTGAATTGTTTCCTCCTGTAACTTCCCCACACTGCCGTTGCTCTTCTCTGGTGCAGTCTTGGTAACAGGTTCCACTTTTTTATGGAATAATGTTTCTTCCTGAGTTTTGAAAGAAATGAAGAAAGAGATTGGTAACAGACAACTTTTACAACAGATGTAATTAAGTTACTAAAATGTAAATAATATACCTGCAAAAACATAATCTTACCACAGTTTGAACATTGTCTGGAACGTCCTCAGACTTCGCAGGTGTGCCGTCAGATAAATGACCCAATTTTCTCCTTTTTGCAACTATTGGAAACATGACAATGCAGAATTAAAAATGAAGGCACTCTAGCTCATTTTCCTCAAAGTCACTGTATTCTACAGCCACTAACCAGTTTCAGAGTCGGAGGAAAGGCAGGCAGAAGATGCTGAAGGTGTCACAGGTGTCTCAATGTGGCTTATCTGGGAAACAAAAATAGAGTCAGTGACTCAAATGGTCATAAAAAGGTTGCAACAAAGAACTGAACTGCTGCTATAATGTGTGCGTTTTGTCAATAACTGAAAGATGTTTATCATTTCACACTACTGGCTGATATAGCTATTGCTGACTGCCTCACCTGCCCTGGTGGAGGCCTGTTCATAGTCTTGCGGGCCCGGTGGATCTTGGGTGGGGAAGGAGAGACCGAAGGAGATGAGGAAGCTGTGACAGAGGAGGAAGAGGAGGAGGAAGAGGACGAAGAGGAGGAGGAGGAGGAGGAAGGAGCAGGTGCCGGGACGGATTTACTGCTACCAGGCCCAGAAACACTCATCTTTGCTCGGCCAGGGGACAACGTGGAAGACGTAGAAGGAGAGGAGGATAACGAAGAGGAGGACATTGATGGAAGGGACTTTGCTGCGTGTCCTGTAAGAGGGAGGTATAACCAGTGATGAAGAAAATCCACATTTAGCAGACTTACTGACCAAGTAATATCTGAGAGCCAGTTCTGCCCCCCTTTGATCTTTGTATACTAATTGTGTATTCTTGCCTTTGACCAAACCCCCACACCCACCTATCGTGCCCTTTGTCTCCATTGGTAATCACATACAGTGAATTGCTTTAAAGATGCTTTAAAAGCTTAAATGCTTAAAGCTTATTAGAATCGTATCAATCAAGCCTTATTTTATTATTTCCTGCTGAATTTGTGCTTCAGGATCGAATCATCTCCTTGTTAAATCTGAGAAAGATCAAGTTAGGTAACTCAAAAAAAGAGTCACCACTTTAACAACATTGATGAGAGCTGACTGGGTCCGAGTCTTACCTGCAGCAAGTTTGTTTGGGGAGGAGGCAGGTGACCATTTCTCTCCCTCCTCTACAGCTCTGGAAGCGCCCTTCCCCGGCTGCTGCGATGACAACATTGATGGCATACCACCCATAGGCTCAGTCTTCTTGGCAACAGTGGCTGAGGTGGAGGCTGCATTATCTGGAAAAGTTAGTTAGAATTCCCCGTTAGTTTTCACAAGCAGTTTGTTTGCATACCTAAAATGTACAGATTTCAAAAATAGGCATGTTTCCCTGCATAAATGAGCTGCAGACATACCTTTCTTTACATTACTTGGTCCAGCTAATGACTCTGCTGGTGTTTCTGAGTCATTTCCTTCAGGAGGCTCCTGGCAGAGAAACAACAAATAGCAGGAAATATTATGTTACAAAATATTTAACTGTCACTGGCTTGTCAAGTAGTAACGTAACATTTTATAAAACTTAACAGGATAACAATGGATAACTAATAAAGACATAACTCTTGTTTATAGTCTTTATTATCTGAAACCACAGCAGTTATACATTAGCAGTAGTTTTCAAGCATATTTTAAAAACTGGTGAAACAGCAACCAAGAACACACCGCTAGTGAAAACACATTTCCCAGGAAAGTTAAGACAAACTTAGTGATTCAGGTTTTAGTTTTGGCTGTCATTGAACTTTATCATTTGTTTTTTTTTTTTTTGTGACACCATCCTCTAGGTTACATTAAATTAGTAGGGTTTCAAAACAGCCAACTCCAGTTGCCAGGAGGGTGATAGCTTCATCTTGGAGAAAAATGGCTGTAGCCTCGATATATGAAGGAGATGGCCTCTTGTATTGTACTGGTGAAACTTACATAAACAGAGGAAAGGCAGGATCATTTGACAAAGCGTGGTCACCATTAATGGAGTGTCTTAGACGTCAAGGTTCTCATTCATTTTTTTTTTTTTTTGCTGTGTGATGCTGAATGTTTTCATTTTCAATTAAAACCCTGCAGGGTTTCATGAGAGGAAATGCGGTAGCTCATCTAAAGTTGTCTTTGGTGCGTTTACGCGACTCACTTCCGGGCTCTCTTCTTCAAAATAAACCATCCAACCAATGGCTGATCTGCTCTGATGTTACGTCAAAGTGCCGCCATCAGTCAATCAACCCATTCATGCCTTTTAACTTCACACCAAACATCCTTCCGCCAACAGTAGTTTGTCAAATAAAGAAGGGATGTAGATGGTTTTTTATTTATTATCACCTGGGATTACCTCATTATTATCACAGTGCACCAAATAAAATAAAAATAAAAGGACAGTTTCTGTTTGAAAACCGGTCTAAACTGAGCGACGCATACCAAAAAAAAAAAAAAACCTCACAACGTGATCCGACAATGACCATGTAGCGACACACACGGTCAAGGAACTCGAGAAAATAAGCAAAACACCGACAACACCGGAGCGAACAACACAAAACAGTGAGTTCACACGCTAACGTGAGCTAGCAGCGTAGCACAGCTTGCAACAAAGAGCTCTTAATATCGACCAGTGGAGACATTTTGCATCCTGGCACACCGCAGCCTGAGTGACACGACTTGGCTACGTCGGCTAATGCGCTTACAAGAGGTTAAACGCACGTACATTTCGCTAGCATGCCATTTTTTGTGTTGCAGTGGGGTTTTTTTTCTACCTTTGTCGTTCTCTCAGAAGCCGACATGTTTCCCGGATGACGACCGACGCATATGAACGTGCCGCGTCATCGCCCAAGCCCCCCCTCGATTGATTTTTTTATTTTTTTTTGAACGGCGCTGATCAGAAGTCAGCGTGCGTGCTCCGATTACACGGCTAACCGCGAGGGGAAGCCTCCCACGAAAACCGATTCAAAGTCAGTTTATAGTGCGAAAGACCAGCGCTTTTGTATTTGTTGTCACGGGATGCGTTTCCTCCAAAAAAAAAAAAAAAAAAAAAAAAAAGAGGCCAAAAAGTAAACACAAATCGAGGTAGTAGCTAGTAGCAGGAGGGATGAGGACACACTGTCGGCTAACTAACGTCGCCGTACTCAGCGGTTGTCCTCTTGAAACAAACCCGGGTTTGTTGTTTTAAAAAGCCTAGAGGACGTGCAACAACACAAAGAGGCAAGGAGAAGGTGAGTGAAAGCAAAGTTTGGACGATTTCTGGGCAGCTTTTGTTTGTTCCTGTTGTTGGTCACCGGTAGATTCAGACAGGCTAACTAGTAACGTTAGCTAACGTTTGGCTCAGTGGGTAAGGCCAGAAGGAAAAGAGGCAAACAGTTATTTTATGATCGATATTATTTTATTATAAACGCCACTGCTCTTAAAACACAGGTAATGTTAGTCATTTTTAAAGCTTGTTTCAAACCCAAACATGTTAGCTAACTTTTCGACCTCCCCTCAATAAAAAAAAAAATCGATTGCTCGATTAAACATCAATATTGTAATGTGAGACTAAATACCATCTCTTATATTGAATGGCTATAACGTGTAGTAACTAAGGTTAGTAATACAGATAAAAGGGCTGATCTTAAAGCTGCATTTCAAGTTATAATACACTCATCTGAAACGGTTACAGGTTATTTTTGTCTTTATATCATCATAATAAAACAGATTTCACATAGGAAGAAATTATGTATTTGCCCCTGAGCTTTTGACTACACTTGTGTCCTTATGTAAACCCTGTCTGACTGCATTCCTAGTCCTGAGTGCTACCTGGAGGAAACTGTAGATTTCAGATCAGGTGTCCATGAGGTATAAGATATTGCACACACTGACATTTATTTGTCTTACGATTTCATATTTTGTGTCTGGTTTTTTTTTTTTTTGTAATCCTCTCATCAAAACACCCCACCATTGAGTTGTTTTGTGATGAACATTTATACATTTCTCCACAGACAGAGATGGAGATGCTGTGTTTCCGGTTACCGGGCCACGGGGACACAACCCTGAAGCACATGAATTCACTGAGGTCCCGCCAGCACTTCTGCGACATCACCATTGTGGCCAGTAACAACCAGACATTCAGGGGACATAAGGTGGTGCTGGCTGCATGCTCGCCCTTTTTGAGGGACCAGTTCCTACTCAACCCGTCCCCCAAGCTTCAGGTGGGCAGATGCCAACACAAACAATAGACTTGTTTGAGATTAACTGCGCCACAGCTGGAAAGTGGAAGAGATCAGGCGACAGCAGCAGGAGGCGGTAACAAAAAGCTGCAGTCAAGCTGGACAATTTCCAGCAGCCTGAAAAGAATATACAGGAAGTCACAGAACTGTTTTGATCCACCTTTAGGCTTATTGTAGTTTGTAGACCATATTTAGATATATAAATAAACTTTATTGTTATTTCAGTCAGACAATTTATGTTTGTTAACAGATTAAACCTTCATTGCACAACATGAAACTAATATCATCATGCCCTGGGTCTTGCAGTTGGTGGAGAGCAACCGTAGCGCCTCAATCTCGTGAGGTTATCATTGGGCAGGCCCGGCTCATCTCAAACGAGCCTAATGTCACACACACACACACACACAACGTCAACGCTATCATTGTATCTCTCTTCAACGCTCATCTGCTGAGTACAAACAATGCTTCTTTATGTTGTTTCACATTTTTATCCAGGTGTCGATGCTGTACAGTTCCACAGTGGTGTGTGATCTGCTTCAGTCTTGTTACACTGGCGTCCTGCAGTTTAACCCAGAGGAGATTGTCAACTACCTGACCGCTGCCAGCTACCTACAGATGGAGCACATTGTGGAGCGCTGCCGAGGAGCACTGAAGAAATATATGCAGCTAAAGAACCCCAATCAACCAAAGGTCAGAAACCCAAAACATTGATACACACTGTATGTTGTGCCGTATTTATCCCTGATTGATTCTTACTTTTTTTTCTGAATTAATTTGTTCATAATGTATAGACTGTGTCTATACCATAATCTGTTCTTCCCGTTCGTCCTCTAGACGACTTCAGAGGAGAACCAGTCTCGACCGGTGATTGTCAGCGGAAGCGTTAATTCTGTTGCATCTGCATCACCTCCTGCTGGCCAACCGTCACCTGTGCACCCACACTGTCCTACAGTACGCTCAATGGAGGAGAACAACGGAGACATGTCTGCTCAGGGCAGCAGTCAGCACCATGACGACAGTCCTATGCTCGAAGAGCCATGTATTAAGGTTTGTGTTTGAAAGAAAAACCTGAGAGCAGTGCACATTAAAAAAAAAAAAAAAAAAGTCTACATCGAATTTACAAGTCTACAGTAGTCATGTTTACGTAATATTAATAATAATGATTACATAACTTTATTTATAGAGAACAAACAGTGTAAATTGAAACAACTATTTGATCAAATCGCCAACAATTTTAGTAGCTACTGAGAGTGACCAGTTACCAAGCACATAACGTAGAACATTTGCTGGTTTTATATTGCTGCAGATTTAGTTGAACAGAGCAAACAATTCTGGAAAAGTATGGGAAATTTTGATAGGAATTTTCACTTTTTTCAAACTAAATCTTTAGTTACAGCACTACACTTCATTTCTGTTACAGGTCAATGCATCAGATGAGGAAGAGGCCAGACAGGAGGACTACGGTGTGTTCAGGGTATACATCTCTGAAGAAGAGCAGGTGAACAGAGACAGGGAGAAGAGAGGAGCTCCCTCTGATGGACAAGATGCGTGTTTCCCAGAGACAGACGGCATTGTGATTGGAGGAGAAGGCAGTGAATATGACTTGAATCCAACAGAAGAAGATCTCAGTACTGGGGGTCCTTCAATGGAGGGGCTGCACGCTTTCAGACGCAGGCTGCCTGACCCTAAAGTTAACCGGGGCAGAGGAAGAGGCAGGGGGCGGGGTTTTAAGAGGAGAAGGTGGGGGTCATCACAGGAGAGAAGACCTCCAGGCATGGAACACCATCAGGATTTGTGGTATCTGACAACGGCAGGGATGGGAGGGAATTTTGGGCTGGACTACAGCCAAGACGGGCTTAAGACTGGAGGTTACGTCTCAGTTGAACTCCCACACTTAGACTTCAACATGGGTGACACTCAGGGAGAAAAGGTCTCACCCATGGCTGCCAACAATTTGACTCAGTACGCCCTGGAGGAGTCTAGCTGTGGCGCCGGCGAAGGGGGTTCTGGGTTGACAACCGTTGGAACAAACGAGGGCGGGGATGAGTCTGTTGCAGTGGTGGGATCCACCTCAAGCGTAGCTGGGCCTGTGATCTGCGAGCACTGCGGCATGACGTTCCCCTCGGCCCACTCCCTGGCCATCCACACCCACTCCACACACCTGCTGTACGCCTGCCCCTGCTGCGGCAAACACTTCCACCACTCCGCCAACCTCACCCGACACATGGCCGTGCACCGAGGCGCCGGCAAATCCCACCAGTGCCCCCTGTGCTATAAGACTTTCACCCAAAAATCCACACTGATAGATCACATGAACCTACATAGCGGCGAGCGGCCACACCGCTGCGCGTACTGCCACGCCCGCTTCGCCCACAAGCCGGCCTTGCGACGCCACCTGAAGGAACAACACGGTAAAACCACAGGACAGAACTCCCTACAGGAGCAGGAGGAGAGGGAGAGGGAGAGAGGAGCTGCTGGAGGAATCAGAGAGGAAGAGCAAGAATGTCTGGTTACTGAACAAGTGTCATAGGCGAGAGCATTAAAGACAGTGAAGTGCTTTCAGCTTACTGCTGTCCAGTGGGGCCATCAGTCTGTGGGGGTCACAATCCCCACAATCCTACTATTAAGCAAGTGCTAGAAACTGACTATGAGGCCTTCTTAAAATCTGACTGTGAACGTAATTAAATGTATGTCAAACTTGCATAAAAACATGCACATTAAGTGATGGATGTGTATAAAATGACTGAGACTGCACACTCTCCTACTCTATGAAAAAGGGCCATTTTTTTTCCATAGCAGACATTTTAACTTGTCGTAGCAGGAAAAGCACAGGTGTCGCTAATAACATTAAAAATGGCTCCGCTCCATTCAAACATCCCAGTGAGTCACGATAGTGAGCCAGCATGAGCAATACGACACCAAGACCCTGAAAACTGAAGCAGCTAAATGGAATTCAACCATTATTAATTGTATTATTTATACCTGTGCCTCTCCAACTGTGACATGTCAGAGTGTCCTCGGTAACAAATGCCTGTTGATTTAGAATAGTTTGATTAAGAACTGTAATCTCAAACTTTTATGTAATACATGTTCAATACGATGCCTGGCCACTGCTCCAAAAAAAGATCATATGTAAATAAAATGATTGGAAAGTCTCTTCATTGTTACCTGTAGTCAGTTATGTAATACTTATGATTGAATGAGAACTCTCTCGCTCTCCTTTTAGTTTTGTTTCAGGGTTAGGGTTAATTACCTATTACAGGACTATATGTAGAACATGGATTTCACTCTGTAGTAAATAGTTTAGTGAAATTCAACCTGACTTAAGGTCTAATCTGCCAGAGTGATTGAAAACACTTGTGAATGTGTGCAGTACTTTTAAATATGCGAATCAAGCTTTTTATAAGACTCTGGAAAACATTTAAAGATCACAAGGACTTGTTCCTCTCTTACAAAAGTTACCTGACTCTGACTTTTGTGTGATCGACTGCAGCAAACTGCACGCTGACAACACTTCGCTGTCTTCTTGTAGCCTTCTCCGGCATTGTGGGCATCAGAGTCTACACAGTTGCTTTGTGTTGGTTTGAAGAGTCAAGAAGAGTATTTGTAAAGCTTTTAAATTAGAACCAGCTGATGTTTCCTGTCCATAGTTGACACGCCTCGGGCCTAAAGTGCTGATAAAGATCTGAGACCTTGTAAAAAATGATCTGAGACTACAGAACTCTTAGTGAAAACAGTGTTTCATGCTCCATACCCTAGAGAGGCTGTGCTAACGTCTGTTCAATTTAAAGAAATCACCAAAATATGTTATTTGAAGGGGTGTTTCTATACAACTGTATAGGCTCATCTGTCCATTCCTTGTATTCTTTCTTTAAATTGTCTTTTTGTTGTATTAGGTTAGGTTACTAACACATACTCTATCTTACATTGTTTTCCTGTTAAATAATTTGCAATTAAGTTGTTTATGACTCATTAATGATGTCAGTGTCTAGAGTTATAACAGCAGTTACAGTCTCCTGCAGGATTCCTGTTTGATACTCGATACACTTCAAACTGATCGTGTCTTGTTCATACAGGGCTCATGAAAGTCTCACTCAAGGCAACAATGTTTGGATACTATTTATTGAGCTTGAAAAAAACCCCCCAAAAAAACAGTATCTCTAGTTTCATGAGCAAAGCTGCCACACACAGGATCACAGACCATCATGTACAAAATGGCAAAATGTTTCAAGAATCAACAGCGCAGGGATTTTTCAACCAAAAAAAGTCAATTTGACATCACATTTTAGAACTGCTTTTTTTTTTTTTTTTTTACACATGCATCTGAACAATGTGAAATTTATCTTTCTCTTGTAGAGTAAATATTATTTATCTAAGCAATAGCTGAACTGATTAATTGACGTTCAGTTTTCGCCTGAGCTATATTTGTGCTTAGAAATTCTTTCATAGAAAGCCTTTAAGCAAAACCCCAGAAGAGTTCACTTTATGAATCCTATGATATTACATGTGAACTACAGTGATCCAAATCCAAAAGACAACAGTTGACTTTGTATTAATCCTGCAACACAGAGACTTTAAGCAGCTAATGGGTCATTAAGAAAAAAACATGAAAAGCTATATGCCAAAATACAAAAACTAAGACTTTTTATTTATTTTTTTTAAATCACAAGAAATCTTCACTGTACACGACTTGGTTCCTCTTGTCCCTGTAGGAGCCTTTAGTGCTGTTCTGCACAGCTGAGAAAGAAGAGAGACATAGGTGAAGGTTAATCCACACTGTGCAGACTAAGATTATTATTGTTAAACTAAAATAGAAACTAAAACTAGGTGTGAAAAAAACATTTTAGTTAACTGAAAACTGAAAAAAACATACAAAAGTATTGTGTACTTATAAAACAAAATTAAAATAAAATACAGATATACAGGAAATGTCTTTTGAGGTCAAATTTCTCCACACAAGCATGATGAGGCACTCGTGCAAATGTCTACATGACTGTGAGTCAATGCGTTTGTATTGTAATACCTATTCTGATCTTTTTTCCCCTGACAAATGGTCCCAACACAAAGAGAGTCTGAATCTCTAAAACAATAAGAAGTGCTGTGTTTACCCAGTGATGCCCACACAGATTTGCCAGTAGCAGCATCCAGCATGGGCTGCTTCCTGGCGATGCTGACTTTGATGTGAACGTCTCCCACCGTGCTTCCATTCAACTGTGGGACAAAAACAGCAAGTTAAGTGAGTAATCACCACAACTTCTGCGTGTCTCTTAGTAAACTAAAAGAATGACTGTATTGCATTATTATTTGATTTATTAGACATTTAAAAAATAGAGCATGAAAGTTACTTGTTCATCATGGGAATATGATTTAATAAAATACTTTTAATAAGAAATAGTACTATGGTGTAGGTTTTTTTTAATTGAAATTCAGTGTTTAGAAATGTGTAATTAATCCCCATAATATCTACATTAGCCTTCTCATAAAAGGAAAAGTCATTTCTTTCTATCCTCATATTAAGAGAACCTCAGTATATTGTATCAATGTCAAAAACCTTAATTTACATTTTAAATATTTCCTTTCCGAATTACTGACTAACCACTTACAAGAGGGTAAACACACGGCTTTGTTGGTATTGAACAACTGAAGAAGATACCAGCAAAATGCACTAATGTAAATGAAAGTAGGAAAGTTAACACTCTCTTTTAAATTTCTTTGCTGAATCTTGTTTTTGTTTGGTTGCAGCATTACTAACAGAGAACATCATATGTATGACTGTCAGGTTTTATTTTAAACAGGATAATACCAACCTCAGCTACAGCCATGTCTGCAGACTCCATCTTCTCAAACGTGATAAATGCACAACTAGAAAGAGAAAAAGCAAACACAAATCACAACGGTATCATAGAATAAAACAGTAAGCAGGAGACGACAGTACATGTAATCATACAGGAACACATTCGTAACAGCAGGTAGAGATGACCACTGTGTGCACACTGAGTCGTTTAATGGTTCCGTACTTGCGTGGGTTGTCCATGGAGAGGTCGATGATGTTTCCATGTTGAGAGAAAGCAGAGCGCAGGCTTTCCTCGGTGAGCCCAGAACCGTAAACATACACCGTATTCCCCTTTCGCACCCCTCTCCGCTCCGGGTATGAATCTGATCCTGAGAATTAAAACATGGGAGACAGAGAGAAATCACTTATGTGCCCTAGCATGCCATTTGACAACAATCCACAACGGATTAATATTCTTAAAAGATAACTGCTTCTCTTTCCTTGTTTAATTGTATAATCTCCTTGTATAACAACTGAATTAGTTGTGCGATTGGTTACTCACGTCTGAACGGTCCATCTCTGTCTCTGTCTCTCTCCCGTTCCCTGTCCCGTTCCCTGTCCCGTTCTCGATCCCTCTCTCTGCTTCGGTCTCTCTCTCTCTCTCGGTCCCGTTCTCTGTCTCTGTCTCTGCCTCTTCCTCTTTCCTTGTCCTTGTCCTTGTCCTTGTCCCGCTCTCCTTCTCTCTCTCTTTTCTCTCTCTCTCTCCCTGTTCCGCTCTCGATCCAGCTCCCGGTCGCGGTCTCGCTCTCTGTCTCTGTCTCGTTCTCGCTCTCTGTCTCGCTCTCTGTCTCTGTCCATTTCACGGGTGGATGACATGCCGCCTCCGTCTTCCTCGTCCCGGTATCGGTCGCTTGAGCTGACGAAGCTGCAGAGGCACATGGGGGAAATTATGTTACACCCACAGATACTCACTGTTGGTGTATTAAACCGGTTGTTTTGCTTATTCATCATGGTTTTATGGGACATTACCTCTCATACAGAGATTTCCTTTGGGCTCTCTTCCCCGACTAGGAGAAGCACAAATATGATAACATTAGAATAAGCTGTACCTGTAGCTCTGTCTTTTTAACACTACGACTCGCCTTGGACAAAAATTCTACATAAAGTATCACGATTGGCCGCCACTGTATTGTTGTAATAGTATTAATTTCCAATAATATTCAAATTGGAATTGATGCTACACCTGAAATAAACGTATAAACATAACACAGATGACACCAATTGCCAATAATATGTTTTATCACATTTTAAATCCACTATACCTCAGGTTGTTCTTCATCTGTAGAGACACTCCTTTGAAATGGTAAGAAAGCTGGAACTGGGCCTTTCTCAGGGTCCTGTGGCAGATAAAGAACAATTTAACAAATAATGAAACAGAAAAACAGCTGAACATCACCCAAAAACACAACAACTGTCTAAAGAATGCGAGCTCACCTTGAGTTTGATTTCCAACATCCGAGAACGCTTAAAGCCGGAGTTCTTGTTCTCTGATTTGATGGCACTGATGGCGCCCGACTTGATCAGCATCTTTGCTTGCTCTGTCGCCGTTGCGGTGTCAACGACAGGCTGGTCCGACAAAGCTGTTATGAAGGAAAGCGTAAAGTGAATAAAACACACCCAGTGTTTATCAGATTGTTTGACGAGCAATTAACAAAATACATGCTGCTTTTGCAACAAAAAAATAAATAAACACAGAACAGAGGCCAAAATATTTAAATAGGGTCAAGTCATATATTCTGTACAGATATTTGTTTGTATTTATAGTGAGAATATTTATGAATTACCTTCATTCAATATTGTGTTTACTCATTATGTGTTTTCATTTGCTTTTTAAATCCTTGCGAACAGAACACAAAGTCTCAACAGGTGTCATATAAATTAAAGCAACTGTGTATTAAGTTATACACACTGGGGATGCCGTAAACACAAGGTGTAATTTTAGTTAACTGAGTAAAGACAAGTGCTGATCGAGTCAAATGTACTTACTCCGTTTCAAGCCACCCTGGTTGGTCTGGTTAGTTGAACTCTGCTTCTTCAGGGCGAGCAGTGCCTTTTTCTGACAGTGAATAAAGTTTAGTGTTAAAATAACAACAATAATAATAATAAAACACAGACTTTAACTGTCGTCCCCTGACTTACACCCTCCATAAATGGGAAACAGATTCAACACTTGCCATTAAAACAAAATGTGATTTTGTACAAATTCAAGTCAAAAACTCATAAGTTACCTTTTTCTTGAGTTTAGCATATTTCTTCTGCAGCGCCTCCTCTTCCTCCGTCAGTGAGCTCGGAAACACCACCATGATGGCAAACAGCTGCGACACAAACAACTGCATTAACAGCTGGAAGCGAACAATAAAAAAGGTGTAACAACACGAAAAATAAGCGTTTGCAAATTCGCGTGCTAACTTTGAACCGGTTCACCGCTGCTAGCCCGGGTAGGCTAACAAATAAATAAGGTGGCTAACCGGAAACCACAAAAACACGAATACAACTGTAACGAAAGCTACTTCAGATCACTCGAACCACAACAAACACGTGTGTGGACTATTAAAACTACTTCACATAAGAGTTAGCTTTAATCTAATTAAGTCACTCACCCAATTCAAACGGCGCACACAGAGCTCAACAACAACACCGGCGCGTCAATATGACGCAGTAGCTGCTGTGACGTGATTTATTTTTTTTATTTTTTATTATTATTTTTTTTAAATTAAAAAGAAACATTTAACCAGCTAGCAAAGTAACACAAAATGACATCCCTTTTGGAATATTATTAAGAATTAAATAAAATAATAAAAACGTTTCCGGTAAAATGTTTAATTCTGTATTGTCGCTAACTGTTAGCTTCGTTGAGTAGCCACTTCCGCTTGGCTTTGGTGGCAACTTCCGAGGCGACAGTTGTGTCAACTTTTAGCTTTCACTTGCGAGTGGGGGACATGGACAGAATAAGTAAGTTGTGGCGTTTTTAACTGTCAAACCAGCTTAAACATGTATGTTTGAAACGCGTTTCATCTCGCTAACGTTACTTTGTGTGATGATGTGGGCTGTTAGTGGGTAACGTTAGCCAGCGTGCTGTCCATCAGTGCTCCACTCAGCAGCCGCACAGATTTAATGTTTCCCTTCATTCCTATGAGCTGTAACAATGAAGTGAAGCCTCTCTGCACCACGCACAGGCCATTAAAGAGTTAAGCTAGCATCATCCTGCAGCATGAATGTGTGCACCAGCCTTATTGTGTGTCTTTTAGTCCATTCATAGTCTTTGTTCCTCCCTCCCTCCAGATGTGCCCCCCGCGGGCCCCATGGACCTGCCGCTGTCCCTGCTGGAGATGGGTTGCTCGGGCAGGTTTGAGCTCATCACACACCCTTTACCCGGCCAGCCTTTACCTCCCCAGAGCACGGTCAGTGTGGCGCAGGATGACTGTGTACAATTTACTCATGTACTGCACTTAAGTCCAATTATCAGGTCCCTGCATGGACTTGTGGTTTCATTTTATGCTGCTTTATACCTCTACTCCACTACATGTCAGAGGGACACATTGTACAGTTTACTAGGTCTATGCATTGGCAAAAATCGTGATACACGGGCTACGATTCAATATATTGTGATATATCGTGATACAGTAACTTACAGACACCACCATATGGACAACATTTAAATAAAAGAAAGTTTACTTTTTGTGCAACCACAACATTGGGGATCATCTTCCCTGTAACATTCAACATCGTAGTACTCACTTTACGTTTAAAACAGTTGTCTCATCTAGTGGTTTGGGGTTTAATAATACAATATTTTTGATATTTTCTTGCACCCCTACCGTTTACTACACTTATCTGACAGCATATGATGCATTGTTATAGCTTCAACTATCCAACAATATGTCAAGTAACTAAAAATGCTGCTTACACGTTATCTGTATTGATGATACAGTAATATAACACAAGATTCACAGAGGCATTTCTTCTGCAGCACTTTTGTTATTTATGCTATTTTTGTGGTTATAAATAAATGTTGACATGTTTTGTTCACAAAAAAAGTCTTAGATTTGTTTAAAGATGTTTGATAGATAGATTGATTCAATTACTGTATATCTGATCTTATCTTTCCCTCCACAGCTCCCCCATGGGCTTCCTCCCACCAGCCTGAGCCTGGAGACAGAAGTAGAGAAGCAGTTTTTACGGGACCCTTCCTGGCTTCCTATACACGACACAGACTTTGCCTTCCAGAGGTTTCTCAAGTGCGTATTTCTGTAAACAATCTTATTATTGCTAGTTAAATAATAAACAGTATTTTGAGAACATGCGTTTCTTGCCACGACACGTAGCATTCGGTCCCTGAATTCAGTCCTATGACGCTTGTGAAGTAACACTTTATACATAGTATAAATAGTGCCAGAAAGTCCAACTTCAGAAAGAAAGTAGTGGTGGATGAATGGGTTAATTACAGGACTCACGGTTTGGCTACCCTGTGATATATATTTTTAGACTTACTGTATAATTTAGTTACTTTGTAAATGATCTTCAGTTCTCCGTCGCTGTTTAGAGAACAAAAAAATCTTGGTTAGGTTTAGGAAATGGTTTGGAAAAACCTCCCACTCACACGAGCACGGATACCTGGCCAATCATAGCGCTTGAATGCTATGCAGGGCGTGTCCTGCCCTGCCATGAAAAGCAGTGCGATCTTCATCACTAGTTTTAATGCCACCATAGTTTCTCCTACAGGTTTGGAAGGCTGAGCTGTATTCCAGTGCTTGCAATCTGCAACTCCACCACCAGATGCCACGAACTCCTACACCCTGGTCCTTTTAATGTTTCATGTTTCCTCATCTAATCAATTTGATCATGAAAGTTATTAGCTCCATGGCAAATACATCAGATGATAACATTACAACATATCTGGTGCTAAGACGACAAATAACAGAATTATAACGAATCCCGTCCTGATAAAGTAAAGATCTTCAGATATCACTGATTAATCTGAGTCATTTAATTTTCACAATGACTGTATGTATCTATATGAAGATGTAATTGTTGTGTTGTTGTCTTCACCAGGGTGACTCAGAGAGAAGTTAATGTCGACTCTCTGCTCAACTGCACTCCGTCTCCGCTCCACTCTGGTCTCTCTGTCGTCAGAGATCCAACCACAGGGATGCTGCTGGACTTCACAGAGGTAGCTCACAAACACACCGGCCCACTCTTCCCCACTCTTAAATTGTTTGTAAAGCATAACCTCATCTTGAGCTGAAACGATTCGCTGATTGACAGAATTTTTCTTATTTGATGCAAAAATTACAAAGATTTTCATGTCTTAGCTTCTCAAATGTGTTCACTCTAACTCAGTATAATTGGGTTTTGGACTGTCAGTTCAAAAAAAAAAATTTCAATATGTTTCCACTTGAAAAATTGTGGTTTGCATTTTTTATTTTTACTCGTTAAAATAAAACTTAAACGTTTAATCCACCCTTGCAGTCCTCATCCTGTTTTAATAGAAGTGAAATAGTCTCTCACTGGGTAGAATCTGTTATGTATATAAGCTGTGGTATAACTCAAGCAAAAGTGCCAATTTTGTTACTTTAAGCATAGTAAAGGTTAATTCAGCTACTTTCGGGTCTGTTGCGTCTTTAATTGAACTTTAGGTTTTGCTGGAGAACACTGGCCTGTCAGCAAAGAACTCGCTTTCATTTCAACGCCAACCCGGGCCCCCTTCAGAGAGCCTTCGAGGAAGCAACACCAACTACCCCTTCCTCCCCGGTGAGACTAATTCAAAGCATTTTCTCATCAATAATTTATGTAGTCTTCCAGTAGTTGAGATGTTTGCAAGTGAGGTGTTTTCACTTGTTGTCACTGTCATATTCCAATATATGTTTTAACAGGAGGAATGGAGGAGCTTAGTCTGGACCAAATCAAGAAGAAATCTGAGCTGGAGGAGGACGTAGACTTTGAGAATGGTGATTTTTAAATCACATTGTAAAACATTGTATTGTTGAAATAATGGTGAAACTTCTGTTATTTCAGCTCTTTATGGTTGAATTTGAAATATCTTTCCCTCATAGATTTACTCAGAGTCCCACCTGGACTCAAAGCTGGGATGGACTTCACTGACAAAGGTTAAATATTGTACTTTCCTATGCAGAAATCCCACAGGGGTTAAAAGATCATTATTTAATCTCTTTCCTGTTTAAAAATGTGTATCCTGAAGATGCCAAGATCGCAAAGGCAGAGGTCAACCTCATGTCCCTCCTGTCCGCACTGGATGACATCACTGCTTTGCAACCTGAGGAAGAGGAGAAAGAGGAAGGCAAAGGAGTTGAAGAAGCTCCCAAACTACCCAGAACAAACAGCCTTGAAGACCTGGTCATCAAGGTACTGCGGCTTGTTTGTTTCTTTTTGTTTTTCACTGTAGAAATGTAGGTTAAGTAGGGGAATTTGTGTGTTACGTTACTTAAATTGAACAGTTTTTAAAAGAGATCTGGATACATGGAGGGTTGCTGGTGTTTGAGTTATGACTGTGGTCATTTAATGCATACAGTGTCATTGCAAATGTTATATTAAGTCATAATAATATAAGATAAAACACTATATGTTATAATGCTAGAGTGCTGGATAGAAACTGTGTGAATAAATCATAATGCAAAGATATTTTGCAGGTTTTAGAGAATTTAAGCATTTATTAGGACATGTACAGTTATTGTTTATGTTGGATGATGAGATTCACAGATGAACAAGTGTGTGATATGATTCATGGTAATCTCTTCCAACTGTTTTTAATCACACATTGTAGAATTCACAATGTAATGCAGTCTTACCTTTTCCAAACCACAGTAATACTGTCATGAAAACAACCTGGACTCCAATTAGGCCTCTAGGCTAAACATTAACTGCACTGAAATCTGGTTCTCCTCCTCTGTCTTCAGGATGCTGTGTCATCCTCATCTCCCCCAGAGAAAGGAAAAGATGAGAAATCAAAGCCCAAAGAAAACCCAGTGGAAAATAAGAAATGGGCCATCCCTGTCAACATAACTTCACCCTGCGATGATTTCTACAAACGCATCCCCAACCCAGCTTTCAAGGTGGGTATTCTAGTAATCATTAAAAAAAAAAAAGTATAATGTCTGTTTGTGCGTTTGTATAGGTGCAATCTTGTAATCGTCACACCTCCCTCGCTATTCATTTGTTGTCTATGTGTTTCTCTGTGATGAATCATCACATAAAAAGCATCCTGTGATAACTGATCTGTGTCTCTGCCCTCCTCTGCTCCAGTGGCCGTTTGAGCTGGATGTCTTCCAGAAGCAGGCTGTGCTGAGGCTGGAGGCTCACGACTCCGTGTTTGTAGCCGCGCACACATCAGCTGGCAAAACAGTGGTGGCCGAATATGCCATCGCTCTCTCACAGAAACACATGACAAGGTGTGTATTTGTTGGTACAAATCAATTTCTTCTGCCCCCACTATGTGCGTAGGTGCACAGCTATGCAGCGAGCTAAAACCCACTTCCAGTAAAGGTTGAAGACAGCAGTTTGTCTTTGAAGTTTTTTTTACTGGAAGCAACTGTGAAAACTGTATTGGGTCAAATTTAATGAGAACTTACATACTTACTGAACATAAACAAGAGTTAGAGCAAAGGTAAAACTATACTTGTACAGGAACAGGAGAAATATAGGCTAGCTTACATTGCCTTATCACAAGTGATACAAAAACATTAAA